TTGGCTGGATATGAAATTCTGGGTTGAAAATTCTTTTCTTTAAGAATGTTGAATATTGGCCCCCACTCTCTTCTGGCTTGGAGAGTTTCTGCCAACTGATCTGCTGTTAGTCTGATGGGCTTCCCTTTGTGTGTAACCCAACCTTTCTCTCTGGCTGCCCTCAACAGTTTTTCCTTCGTTTCAACTTTGGTGAATCTGACAATTATGTGTCTTGGAGTTGCTCATCTCGAGGATTATCTTTGTGGCATTCTCTGTATTTTCTGAATTTGAATGTTGACCTGCCTTACTAGGTTGGGGAAGTTCTCCTGGATGATATCCTGCAGAGTGTTTTCCAACTTGGTTCCATTGGCACACCAATCAGACATAGATTTGGTCTTTTCACATAATCCCATATTTCTTGGAGGCTTTGTTCATTTCTTTTTACTCTTTTTTCTCTATACTTCTCTTCTCACTTCATTTCATTCATTTGATCTTCAATCGCTGATACTCTTTCTTCAAGTCGATCTAGTCAGTTACTGAAGCTTGTGCCTTTGTCACGTAGTTCTCGTGTTATGGTTTTCATCTCTATCAGTTCTTTTACGGTCTTCTCTGCATTGATTATTCTAGTTATCCATTCATCCATTCTTTTTTCAAGGTTTTTAGTTTCTTTGCACTGGTTACGTAGTTCCTCTTTTAGCTCTGAGAAGTTTGATCGACTGAAGCCTTTTTCTCTCAACTCATCAGTCATTCTCCATCCAGCTTTGTTCCATTGCTGGTGATGAGCTGCGTTCCTTTGGAGGGGGAGATGTGCTCTGATTTTTTGAATTTCCAGCTTTTCTGCACTGCTTTTTCCCCATCTTTGTGGTTTTATCTGCCTTTGGTCTTTGATGATGGTGATGTACTGATGGGGTTTTGGTGTGGGTGCCCTTTCTGTTTGTTAGTTTTCCTTCTAACAGTCAGGACCCTCGGCTGTAGGTCTGTTGGAGTTTGCTTGAGGCCCACTCCAGACCCTTTTTGCCTGGGTATCAGCAGCAGGGGCTGCAGAAGATAGAATATTGCTGAACAGCAAGTGTTGCTGTCTGATTCTTGCTCTGGAAGCTTCGTCTCAGGGATGTACCCTGCCATGTGAGGTGTGAGGTGTCAGTCTGCACCTAGTGGGGGATGTCTCCCAGTTAGGCTACTCAGGGGTCAGACACCCACTTGAGCAGGAAATCTGTCTGTTCTCAGATCTCAACCTCCATGCTGGGAGATCCACTGCTCTTTTCAAAGCTGTCAGGCAGGGTCATTTACCTCTGCCGAGGTTTCTGCTGCTTTTTGTTTAGCTATGCCCTGTCCCCAGAGGAGGAGTCTACAGAGGCAGGCCAGCCTCTTTGAGCTGTGGTGGGCTCCACCCAATTTGAGCTTCCTGGAGGCTTTGTTTACCTACTTAAGCCTCAGCAATGGCGGATGCCCCTCCCCCAGCCTAGCTGCCACCTTGCAGTTAGATCTCAGACTGCTGTGCTAGCAATGAGGGAGGCTCCATGGGCGTGGGACCCTCTGGGCCAGGTGTGGGATATAATTTCCTGGTGTGCCGTTTGCTAAGACCCTTGGTAAAGCACAGTATTAGGGTGGGAGTTACCTGATTTTCCAGGTGTTGTGTGTCTCAATTTCCTTTGACTAGGAAAAGGAATTCCCTTCCCCCTTGGGATTCCCAGGTGAGGCAATGCCTCGCCCTGCTTCAGCTCTTGCTGGTTGGGCTGCACCTGCGGACCAGAGCCAACTGTCTGACATATCCCAGTGAGATGAACCTGGTACCTCAGTTAAAAATGCAGAAATCACCTGTCTTCTGTGTTGCTCATGCTGGGAGCTGGAGGCTGGAGCTGTTCCTATTCGGCCATCTTGGGTGCACCCCAGAAGAAAATCTCATAATGGGAATCTGGAATTGGTTCACTGATATGACTAGATTTAAAGGCATAAAAGACCCCAATACTGATGATAAATTGGACACTGGCAACCCATAGCATATAATGACAAATCTTTATTTAAATGACTACCTATAGCCATTGCAATCAAGCTCAAAGGAAGGCATTGAGCACCAAATGGCTGCTGCCATATAAGATTTTAGAGCAAATAAAAATGTTGAAGAACTTGGTTGCTTCCAAGTATACTGGACAGCTTGGGTAAAGAAAATAATGAGCTCAGTGCTCAATAGTCCCAGATCAAGGTCCATGTGATGAGCTGGAAAGCTTCTCTAACTTCCCTGAAAGAAACCCTTATCATCTGCAGGTGCGGGGCTAAGATCCCAAAATCCAAACCCATGGTCTAATTTTGAAGATTGCTGAATTACAGGGCAAAAAGAATTTACACCTGTGAATGTATGAAAAAAACTCATTAAATTGTACATTTTGAATAGATGAATTGTACAGTGTATAACTTGTGTCTTTAAAAAGTGTTATTAAAAAATTCACAACCTTGAAGGGTCTTATGTGAAAGTCAGAGCATTGATTGGGACAAAGAGGGATCCTGAAAATTGGGATGGGGACATATGGGCAGTTTCTGATGAAATAGAGGACCTCAGTTTCCAAATTCTGCCAAGCCTTCTTTGTCAATAAAAGCAGACCTACCTCTTCTGTCTGAGGAAGTTAGTCTCACCTGTCTTCAAGACCCATCATAATCTCTTCTGAATGGAGTGACTTGCAGGGGACTGCTGATGTCCATTAGGATGTACCTTCATTATAGACTCTGTTCCTTTCCCATTCCAATCACTGATGTAGATGAGACATCCAGTGATGTCTTATCCAATCATGTGGTTTTAAGTGCCATCTCTGTGTTGAAGATGAAAATTTATAGCTTCAGCTTAGACCTCTCTTTTGAACTTCAGACTTGTATATTCAATTTCTTTCCTTAAATCTCCACTCAATACCTAATAGGCATCTCAAAACTGACATGTCAAAAATGAGCCCTTTTTATTCTTGCTTCTCTTATAGTCTTCCCTATCTCAATCAAAGGCAACTCCATGACTGACATTCTTGATGTCTTCTCCTCCTCTCACATCCACATTTAAAACTTTATCCCATCTTGCTGTACCTTCACAATATATCCAGAACTTAGCATTTCTTGCAGTCACCACTGCCATCATCCCAGTCTCCATTGTCTGTCACCTGTGTTGTTGGAATGGCCTCTGAGTTGTCCCCTTTTCAGTCTATGTCCAACAGAGTAGCCAGAGTGATTCTGTTAAAATGCAAGTCAGATCACCTTACTACTTTGCTCAAAACCTTGCAATGGCTTCCAGTTTCCCTTAGAGTAAAAGCTGGAGTCTTTATGATGGCTTGCAGGACCCTGGGTGACCTGTCCTCCCATGCTCCTCCCCATACCTCTGACCTCATCTCTTTCTACTTTTCCCCCTCATTTCTCCACCCAGCCACACTGGCTGTTCCAGGGGTTTGCTTCACCACAGGGCCTCTACTCAGAATGCCTGTCCCCCAAAAGAGCCACATACCTTACTTCTCTGCCACTTTCTCAGTAAGGCCTTCCCTGGGCACACACTTTATAGTTTAAACTGTTTCCACTCCTAGTGTTCCTATTGCCTTTTTTGCCTTTTGTTTCTTCCTCATTACTTATCGTTTTCCTGCATACTCTATATAGGCAAGGGTTTTTACTTTTTTTTTCTTTTTCTCTCTACTGTTGTATCCCCAGTACCTGTAATTGTGCCTGGCACATAGTAGTCTCTCAAAGAAATGGCTGAATGAAAGCATGAAAGCATGCAAAGCATTTAACGTGGTATATAACAAGTACTCAATACAGTCAGCTGTTGCTATTTAGCTAATTGTTTTAACCACAAAGTTAGGAGATGTTCTGGGCTTTCTCACTTTCTCTTTCTTTCTCTCTTCCATTTTCGTATCTAACTACTCATGAAATTCTATAGAATCTACCTGGGGTTAACCTCTCATCATTTCTTACAGGGATTATGGAACAGGTTTCACACTGACTCCTGTCCTTTTCTCCCCACTTCTTTTTTCTTTTTTTAAACATTCCTGCTACAGTTTCAGAATCACAAACCTGGTCATGTCAATCCTCTGCTTAAAATTCCTCAATGGCTTGGCAGACCTGTCAGGATAAAGTTTCTAGTCTTCACTTGGTACACAAATCCTCTCCTGACGCAGCCCTCTGACCCCTTCTTGGCCTCTTCTCATCCGATTCTTCCTCACACCCTTTGCTCAAACTAAACAGAGCCAACTGAGGTTCCCCAATGACCAATGTCAATGCCAACTGAGGTTCCCCAATGACAATACCTTGGTGTAACTTGGTGAGCACATAAACACACGGCTTTTGCATATGCAGTCCCTGCTGCCTGCGATGACCTTCCTCTTCCTTTCTCTCTTTTTAAAATCTCACTAATCATACTCATCTTTCACATCTCATCTCAAGCATGACAGACTCTAGAAATTCTTCCTTGAACTCTCAGTTTGATTTAGAGAGCACTTTTCTCTGCATGTCCCCATAATAACACTTACAATCCTGTAGTGGAATTGGTAGTTTATTGTCTGCCTCCTCCATTAGAGAAAACAAACCTGGAGTGTTGGGGGTGGAAGTTTCACACTGTACTTTGCACTTCTGTGCTGAACACAGAAAGGCAGGGGTCAGAAATGTTTGCTGAATTAGTGATGGTTGTGTGGTTAAGACTGCCAGCTTCTTACGGCTGCTTGTCGAGAGGAAGAGAGACAGGCTGGAAGCCGGGAGGCAAGACATGCATGCGAGGGACATTCAGAGTTGGACTTCTCTAGGGGTGAGTGAGTAACCATTTCAGAGAGCATAGGGAAGGGCCAGGCACTGAAACAGCAATAATAGGATAAGCATGCTGCACTTTGTATTCTCGATTTGAAAAAAGTTTCTGGTGTTTTCTTTGTTCATTGCCTTTTTATTGTCTTTTAATATTTAACATAGTCTAATGGAAAAACCCCACCCTGCCTTAGCTGTTCTAAAATAATCCAACAGAAACAGTTTGGGTCCATGATTGAGTCGGAGTATTAAAGAAGTAGCCATGTCCCTCCTGGTGATGGCAGCAAGAAGTCTTTCCCAAACAGAAAAGGGTGTCTAGTGCTCATCACTTTGGAGGGGGTAAGACTTCCTTGTATGCCGTCACCAAAGGAAAGGTAAGACTTACAGTACGCAGTTCTCCCATCCTACAGATTGTCTTTCCTGAGTGGACACCTCAAAGCTTCTGTGCTTTCTTTTGTCAGAGAGGCTTTGCCCATTCACAGATGCTTAATACATGTTTGGAAGAAGAGGCTTTCTGATTGGTTCCAGACATGAAAAGGCACTCTGATTGGTGGGTGCAGAGGTAGAGGTAGGTAGAGTGGGTGAGGGCAGGAGAGTGGAGATAGAAAAGAGATGGAAAGGCCCGGAAAACTCGGGCTGGGGGCAGAGCAAAAAGGCACCACCGATGGTGAGCACATAAACGCATGACTTGACTATGAGGATTTCATTCTTCTGAAGGAAGTTGTCGTGCGAAAGGGGCAAATATTTAAACAACAGTTGGAGTGTTGGCAATTACATTTCCCACAGATGAATTTACCATGGCAAAGGGGCGACAGAGGACAATTTGGCTTAGAACAGAGTATTAAGACTATGGTAATAGAAAGCAATCTGTTCAAGGAGAGGTCTTGGAGGGCATGAAAAATAAAAATAACACCAAGCAAGTGAAATGGATAAACAATGGAGAGAGGCAATAATGGTCACCTTATAGTCGCTGAGAAAACACCAACATTAATAAATCTTGAAAGACATATATAGGGTGCTGCAGACAAAGGAGGGGACTCTCATGACAGCTGGTGATGAGGGTGGGAAAGTGGTACAAGTAACAAAAACTAACATTTGACAGAAAAAATCCAACAGGTACTAGTCTGCCATTTTTTTTATGTGGCTATAGAGCCTGTTATGTAGTTTCCTTCCTTTAAAAATGTCAGCCATTATACATATTCATCATCACGTAGCTAGGAGAGAGTGATTTTAAACTCATAAAATTTTAGTGCTGGGGTTTAGAGGTCAGCTCTTCCAACTGCCATTCTTTACAGATGAGGGCACTGAGGTCCAGGGAGAGGATGTGATTTGTGCAGGATCACATTCCCAGGCAACGTACTTGACTTCCTTCTAGTGTTCTTTCCATGACGTGAGGAGTTTCCAGCTTTCGAAAGTAAGAAGATGCCCTTTTTAATGTCAAATGTTGAACACCCTCACATGCGTCTTAAGTATCCTGCATTGTATTCCTCACAATACCCCACAGACATTTGAAAATGCATAGTATACCTATGAGTGAGGCATGCTAGTTTCTGTCTCTAGGCAGCCTGGTACTAAAATAGACCATGACCCTGGCAGCTTCCAGGTTGGCAACAGGGCCCTGCAGCAGGAGGTGTGGGCTCTTTTTAAACTGAGAATGGAAATAAATAATTCTATTCTCTTAAGAACAAAGAAGGTATCAAATGAAATCAAGTACCTTCATTTGGAAAGGTTTCATAGGACTTTGGGTAATTTCAGACTACAGAAGAAGAGGGTCCTATTCTTCGGTCTTGTCAGGACCCTTGGGAGGGGCTCTGTCAGCCAGCAGATTGAGAATAAAGCCGAGTGGAGGGTCAAAGGCTGCTTTTCTATCTACATAGTTGGAAGGAAATTCACCTGAAAGTGGGACGGGGGAGACTCAAAGTGTGTCACAGCTCAATCCAGGGAATTGGAGAAGGGTTGGAGACAGGGGTTGGAGGGGGTGTGGGTGAGGCTGTAGCAGTCCCCGACCAGGAAACTGCTGAGCCTGGGAACCCTGCAGGTCACCCAGGTGGGGACACTCAGAGTAAGCTACCACTTATTGAGCACCTACTATGTGCTGGTCACTCTGCTAGATGCGTCACATGCACCTTTTCATATAATCTTGATAATAGCATTTCAAGGTAGAGGCTCTTATTATCCCCATGTACAGTTGAAGAAAGAAAAGCTTAGAGGGACTTTGAAACCTGTCTAAAGATCTCAGGGCTGGAACTGGAACCCAGGCAGATTCTAAAGCACCTGTTCCTAGCCACAATCATGGCAAACAAAAGTGTAGCAGGTCATTGTTTGGCTCAACTGAGAAAAATACACGTAAAGTGCTTAACATTGTGTCAAGGTATATAAAAGAGGCTCATTACATGGTGATGCTGATTATCTGTATTTTCAACGTCATTACTTTGGAAGTATAAATCATGTAAGAGATTAAAAATACTAAAGAGTTGGAAGAAAATTAAAGTGTGAAATCTCCTAGGATGGGGTTTAATTAAAAAAAGAAAAAAAGGATTTGTGTCACTGGTTTAGGGATGGAAACCTCCTCCCACCTCAGTGTGGTGACTGTGAACCCAGAAGTGTGGCCAGGGTACAGAGTTTCAATGTAGACATTGGTACCTGCCAGGTGATTAGATTGCCTCCACCAGGATGATAATAATCGTCCGGAATGCAGGGGGCAATGTAGTGTGGGAGACAGGCAGAAAGTAGTGTGGGTCATACAGAGAAGGGTGCAAACTAGGCGCAGGGAGCCCCTGGAATTTGGAGGGTGGGGTTCTGAGAAAAGATTATTTCATCACCATTTACTCTTAGCCATCTCCTTGTGTGCAGGTTGTGAAGGGGACATCTGCCAACAAGCGACATCATAATGGAAAAGAGAGATATGGCCAGAGTCCAGAAAAGTTGAGCTTCAATGATAGAAAGAGTTTGAATACACGCTAAATTTAGGTAATCCGCTTACTAAATCAGGACTGGCTCTTTGAAATGTTACTCAAAATCTCTGTTTAAAAAAACATGGGGCACTTCAAAAGTAGTTCTGCCACGATATGTAAAAAAGGGGTCATGGTTTGTAGCTTAAAATTTCAAATATTGTAAGTTTCACTTCAGAGAATTAACGTAGTATATATGCAGCAAAAATGACTTTTCTTAACACATCAAGCAGAGCCTTAGAAACCTCCCACCCAACTGAGTTCATTCATTCTCTAGGGGAAAAATTTATTTTGCAAAGGACAGTTTAATCCATGAAACTGGCTGTTAAGGTCCCTGTTAGGGGATAAGATTTTCTACTTAATTTGACTATACCATTGAATATGTTTTGCATCATTTGGCAAATTTCCCTGTAGAAGTTTTCATTTTTTTCCTTTTGTTAACTGAAAACGAGGAGGTATACATGAGAACATCATGAAAGAAAATGCATTGTTTTCAGTATTCGGTTAATCTGAGGAGGCTCAAATGGTATGTTCTGAAAACTGCTCAAAAATGAGACTGATCCATCTTGAAAAGCCTGTTGAGATGGAAAACCTCATCACTTTGAAGGCCTCTTTGGTGCACTGGTTTAGAGTTTATGGTGAGAAGGAGGAAATACATTAACACGTCAGTGTTTTCAGGTGATATCAACACCAGCTGTCTAGAGAATGACGAGACTCAGTGTGCCGTATGAAGAGACCAGTCCTCTGATGACAGGACTCCCAAGCAGAAATGTATCCTAATAGGGACAAATGGGTGTGAGTAACATAAATGGTCTGGGACAGGTAGTCCATGATAAATAGGGCCATTGCAAATCCTGACCAGGATGGGAGACTTATAAGGACAGAAAATGTGTATAATCCTAACATATGGTACCAGTGAGGGGAAGCTGGCCTGAGGAGTTTGCTGTGGAAAAGAATGTGTATATTTCTCTCATAAGCTGAGATTCTCAAACTTTGGCAGTCTGAGGTCTACTATGCAGAACAATGAATTCTCCCATGACCTCAGCCTGAGGGCTACTGTAGACATCAAGGTGGCCTCTGTGTTGCCTAGGAGACAGTACCCCATACAACAAGCCCCATCCCTGCAAGCAGCTCCAGCTCACAGTCTTCTGCAGTTGGTAACCCCATTTTGTAAAGGATGGAAAAGAAAGATTAAGGAATCTGCCTCAGTTTGTATTGTCCTAAGTGGTGGCTGCAATTCAAACTCAGGGCTATCTGAGTCTATAGTCTGTTCCTGCAAAAGTGTAACTAGGTGGCAGGTACATAGAAACTGCTGAGTCCAGTTTGGAAAGATTGAAGGAGCATACAGAGGCAGAAGGTAGAAACTCCAGTCCTCTTGAAGAATCCTGAAAGACATTGGGGATCACTGGTATGATTAATTTTATATGTCAACTTGATTGGGCCACAGTGTGCCTAGACATTTGGTCAAAGATGCTTCTGGGTATTTCTATGAAATTGCTTTTGGATGAAATTAACATTTAAATGGGGAGTTAAATAAAGCAGTTTGCCCTCCCTAATGTGGGTGGGCCTCATCCAATCAGTTGAAGGCCCGAATAAAAGAACAAAAAGGCTGACCCTCTTCTCCAAAAAATAAGAGAGAATAGTTCTTGCCTGACTGCCTTTGAATGGAGACATTGGCTTTCCTCTGTCTTTGGGCTAAAACGGAAGCACTGTCTCTTCCTGGGTCTTGAGCCTCTTGTCTTTAGACTGGAACAACCATCAGTTTTCCTGGGTCTCTAGTTTGCTGACTCACCCTACAGATCTTAGGAGTTGCTAGACTCCATAACCATGTGAGCCAATTTTTTATAAATCCACATCTTTCTGTATAGTATGTACAGGTGCATCCCACTGGTTCTGTTTCTCTGGAGAACCCTGACTAATATAATCTCCAACATCCAATTCCTTTCTCTGGTTTTGGGAGTTTCTCAGTATGTATCATCCTGGTGGGAGATAATGTCTCATTTTCTCCTCTAGAAACCCAAGGGTCAGGTGGTCTTTCTTCCCACAGCCTGGCTGCAGGGTACAGGCACATGACCTGCACTGGGCCGGTCAGATGCCCCTGCCTGGGACTTTGAATCCGGGGGGAGGGGGTGAACCAAGATAAAGAGGCAATTAGAGTTCACTTCAGGAGCAGCGGAGAGTGACTGCTAAAGGACGGCTGCCTTGGCTATCTGGACATGCGTAAACTCTTGTCATTTTCTGTGTCTGGTTCTCCCAATATCAATGGATTCTGAAAGTTGCTTTTATCTTTCCAATGAATGCCCTTTTCTACTGACAATTACAGATTAGTCTCATGCTTACAGCCGATAATCTTGACTTGTGCAGAGGTGAGACCTGTCTTTCAGGTTGGACTCTGGAGCCAGGAGAGCTCTTATTTCTGTCTGTGTCGTGTGTAGAATTATAGGCAGATGCCACAGACCATAATGGAACCAGTGAGTCATGGGAGGGGTGCTCATCACCAAAGCCAAAGGTAATAAGAACATCAGCAACAGCAACCAAGAGCCTTTCCTATGTGCCAGTGCTTTGCTGTGAGTTTCTCTTGCACTATTTCATCTGATTATCACAACCTTCTGTGGTTGGTAGCCCCATTTTGTAAATGATGGGACAGGAAGAATAAGGAATCTGCCTCAGTTCGTATTGTCCTAAGTGGTGGTTGCGATTCAAACTCAGGACTATCTGAGGCTATAGTCTGTCCCTGTGAAAGTGTAACTAGGTGGCAGGTGCATAGAAACTG